TCTGCGTGTTTGAGTTGTATTTCTTCACCTTCTATACCTATTATTCTTTTTTTTTTTTTTTCTTTTGGTTTTTCGAGACAAGGTTTCTCTGTGTAGCTTTGGAACCTATTCTGGCACTCTCTCTGGAGACCAGCCTGGCCTCAAACTCACAGAGATCCACCTGCCTCTGCCTCCCAAGTGCTGGGATTAAAGGTGTGCACCACCAACGCCCAGCCTATACCTATTATTCTTAGATTTGATCTTTTCACAGTATCCCATATTTCCTGGATATTTTGTGTTAGGGATTTGTTGGACTTAAGATTTTCTTTGGTTGATGAATCTATTTTCACTAGTGTGTCTTCAACTCCTGAGATTCTCTCTTCCATCTCTTGTATTCTGTTGGTTATGCTTACATCTGTAGTTCCTGATCATTAACCCAGCTTTGGTATTTTCAGCATTCCCTCAAATTGTGCTTTCTTTATTGTCTCTATTTTAGTTTTTAGGTCTTGAACTGTTTCCTTGAGAGATTTGTTGATATCTTGTATTTTTGGTTTGTTTTTTCTTCCATTTCTTTGAGGGATTTTCTCATGTCCTCTTTGAGATCCTCTATCATTTTTCTGAAAATGTTTTTAAGGTCATTCTCTTCTGATTCATCTGTATTGTGATGTTCAGTTCATGCTGGTATATGGTTCCTAGTCTCCAGTGGTGTCTTACTGAGTTTTCTGTTCTTGAATGTGCTTTTACCTTGTCCTCTTCTCATCCTTTCTTCTGGTGCATGTAGCAGGAGTTTCTTGCTCTCCTGGTGGGTATGTGACCAAGGTTCTCTTCTGGTAGATGCAAACAGATCCAATACTCTCATGCCTGTCCTCTTCTCATGGATGGAGGTATCACTGTTACTGGGGCCTCTGCAGTGTTTGGGTGTGTTGGATCACATTGGGCTGGTGGATGGAGACAGAACTGCCATCGGGGCTCAATGTTTAGGATCCTGCCGCCGAATTCGGATCCACATGCAGATCACTGGCGTCAGATGACTCTGAGCAGTGATGACGAACGGGAACCAGAAACAGCCCCGGGGCCTACCTGGGCCAGTGGATGGAGGCAGAACTGCCACTGGGTGCTCTTGTGTGTCGGATCCTATTCTCCAATATTTCTAGGTCATAAGTAGTTTCATTCCTTTCTTCTCAAATGAGGTTGATTATTGATTTCTGTGTAAAGAATTGTCTCCTGTAGCTTAGGCTTTCCTCATGCTATGTAATTGAAAATGGCTTTGAACATCTAATGCTGCCTCTGCTGCCCGTTGTTGGGAAGATAGTCCTCCAATTCCTTATGGGCTGGGCCTTGACTGGTCAGTGAAAAGGAAAAATAGATCAGTTAAGGAATGACCTCCCAATTTCTCTGTCTTTCATTGGAAACTTGTAAATGAAGAGGGACCTGGGCAAGAGTTGAGTTCATTGACCAACTATGAAACTGGTGGTATCACAGTACAGAAAGGGAGGGTCAGGAAGGAGGGCAAGGGCTTTTCTGCTTCAACATTAATTGAGATTATTAATGTGGAATTATGTAACTAATTTTAGATGATCCATAAATGTCCTGATTGCCCATTTCTTGGGGTTCACAGACTAGGGCAATCAAAGGTCTGTACTTACCATGAATCCAAATTGCTATAGTTATACCAGTTTAACTAAAATAGAAGATTTGGGTAAAATGTTGTGGCCCTGTCTAACAGGACTGTCCTTTTTCTGGTTTAAGATGTTCATCCTTAGAGAAAAGGTGTGAGAAATTTTTTTCCTACATTTTTTTATTTAAATTAGAAACAAGATTGTTTTACATGTCAATCCCAGTTTCCTCTCCCTTCCCCTGGGACGGTGAGGCCCAGGGAGGGTGAGGCCTTCCATAGGGGGTCTTTAAAGTCTGTTGTATCCTTTGGGAAAGGGCCTAGGTCCTACCCCGTGTTTCTAGGCTCAAGGAGTATCTTTCTATGTGGAATGGGCTCCCAAAGTCCATTCCTATGCCAGGGATAAGTACTGATCCACTATAAGAGGCCCCATACATTTCCAAGGCCTCCTCACTGACACCCACTTTCATGGGGCTACTTATTCATATATGGATTTTAGACATGGAGCAAGGGATTGCCAGCCTACAATCTATACCAACAGAGAAGCTAGGAAACAAGGAGGACTGTAACAGAGGCACACATAGTCCCCTGGAGAAGGGGAAGGGGACAAGATCACCTGAGCAAGTTGGGAGCATGGGGGGAGGGGAGAGGGAGCTGGGAGAATAAGAAGAGGGTAAGGGGAGGAGTGGGAAGGACATGAGGGAGCAGGAAGGTTGAGTTGGGGGAAGAATAGAGGAGAGCAAGATAAGAGATACCATAAAAGAGGGAGCCATTATAGGTTTAAAGAGAAATCAAGCACTAGGGAAATGTCTGAAGATCTACAAGGATGACACCAACTTACAATCTAAGCAACACAGGAGAGGCCACCTTAAATGCCCTCCCCTGATACTGAGATTGATGCCTAATTTATATGCCATCCTAGAGTCTTCATCCAGCAGCTGATGGAAGTAGAAGCAGACACCCACAGCTAAACACTGAACTGAACTGGAATCCAATTGCAGAGAAGGAGGAGTGATGAGCAAAGGGGTCCAGACCAGGCTGGTGAAACACACAGAAACAGCTGACCAGAACAAGGGGAACTCTTGGTCCCCAGACTGATAGCTGGAAAGGTGTGTTCTCACCTTTGATGTGCTGTAATACAAATCCCTAGTCTCTGGAGCACTGTTTTGACTTTTCAGTACTTTTTTAGATTATAGCTACATTATATCCACATTCTCTTTCCTGCCTCCAAGCCCTACAGTGACCCCTCATTGTTTTCTAATTCATGACCTGTTTTTTTAAAACAACAGTTACTGTGTGAATGTGACCTGTGTCTTCAGGATTTCCCAACCATGAGGCAATGGGTTGGGTGCGCTGGACATTGAGTGTGTTATGGAATGTGCACTCAAAGGTCCCTGTGCTTTGGATGAGGAACAGGAAGTACTCTAGGAGAGTGCAAGAATGTCTACTAAAATACAAACTATCTATGCTAGAGCCTTGCTGCTGGGCTGGAAGGGCAGAGCTGGAAGGACTGTGTTGTGTGAGTCATTTGATCTCTGATCACCCAGTAGGGGAGCTGCTACTATTCTGAGGCCTATCTGGTTAGCCCTAGCCAATGAGGGATTCTGGGGAGGCTTAGCAATCAGGAGTACTAGTAGCAGGTAGCTGATGGATTCTTTCCATGATTCTCCACTGTTTCTGCTGTAGGTAGTTATAAGGAAGACTACAAGCCATGCCATGGTTAAGTGTAGGTTGTTCAGAGCAGGTCTGCTGAACTGTCATTTGTGCTGGGATTTGGATGGCCCATGAGGCAGACTATGGTTCTATTGGTCCATGTGGTAACCTGGGCAGTGACCCTTGTCCTCTAAGTCTCCCTGTGTATGGGTTTTCTGGGGAGGGGGAGATTCTGCAGCCCTGGCATGGGAGGATCTGATGCTTGTAATATCACTGTCCAGTGTTCACACCCAGGCTTTGCTTTTGGTGTGAAGTGGGAAGACAGGTTGGTAAACTGAAGGTCTGGTTTCTAGAAGTTCTGAATCTTTCAGGTTTTTCTTATACATGTTACAAATAGTTTAGGAACTGGTAGAAAGATGGTGATGTGAATTTCCTTTCAGCAATACATGATTAGAATGCTTTTAACTTTCTGCTACCACCAGCCACAATGGTGTGATTCTGTGAAGTTTAGTTCCAGGGAACAAAAGGAGTTTCTGAGCTGCAGAGGTTTCCTCAGGTGTGCATGGTGTTAAACAGGTAGATAGAGCAGATGCCACACATCTGTGCTATAATCCATGTGGCAGGAAGCAGATTTTAAATTATTCTTCTATGTTTTGGGATTGAGCATCAATGGGGCTGCGTTTACCTGAAACCGTAAGGGGAGCATAGCAAGAGATGACTTCCGTTTGCAGAAGGAGCTCTAGATCATGCGTCTTCTGTCCTTGGAAGAAATATCAGTAGCTGGAAGGTCATAAATGACAGTTTAAGGGTCATCTTGAGCTAATATTATGAAAGTTGTGAAGTCTGTGTTTATTTAATTTCTATACACATAGAATCATAGGTAGCTGGGTAACATTAGTCAAGAGCATACTTTTTCTGGCTAAGTTTCTTTTGTTCTTTTGATAAATGGTGAGCATATTTTTCCTGCCTTTTGTTCTTGGCTTTTTCTCTCCACCCACCTTATTCTTTGACAAATATTGTACACATTCTTGAATATTGTATCTTTGTGGCAAATGTAGAAGTCATATTATGCCAATTTGTGTATTATGTTTTCATAATCACATTGTACATTCTGAATGTTTACACTGTGAATGTGGCTTTGTGATCATCTTTCCTGTATAAATTGTTGGACATTGTCATTGGATTGTTTTCATTTTATAGTGCAAATTTACCATACACCACATCTTAATTTTGATGCATCGTGTTACTCAGAATCATTTATTTACTTCTTTATTCATTTACATTTTGTTGTTCTTGTTATTAATCTGTGAAGGTCTTTTGGTTTATTGGATAAAAGATATGGGTCTAGGCAGGTGGCTCAGCACTTATTCTTTTGGGGGATGATCTGATTTCAGTTATCTACACTCAGGCTGGGAAGCTCATAATTACCTACTATACCAGATCCAGAAGATCTGATACCCTCTTTTTCTGTATGTCACCTGTATACAAATGGAAGATGTTCTCTCTCATGCACAAACATATGCCAAAAATATCAATAAACTTGTTTTCAAAAGTGCTCATGACTTATAAAACAATAAGAGTAAAACAAGTTGCTTTGGGTGTACACTGATTCTTTAAAAATCTCTTACCTTGCATTGGCTTTGGAAATGTTTTCATTTGCTCATTCTAATTCAGACTTACAGGCAATCATCTCTCATAGGAAACAAAATGGTGTCTAAGTGATCCTAACAGACATCCTTTCCTTTATCATCAGAGAATGAGATCCTTTTAGTTGTCAAAACTGTGTTCTACAAAGGTAAACATCAGAAAGCCTCCAGTGAATCTCTCCAGTTTTGGTATAATAGTCCTCCTTGCTCAACCCATTTGCTGTTATTGGCAAAGAAGAGAACCAGAGTATACAGGATGGATGCTGGTCAGTGATTTCTTGGAGTTTGATTTTGATTAGAATCTTGTCATTCTTGTTTAAGGGACCATGTAAGTATATCTTTATGTCTTGCTTTGTCAGTGGTGCCATCTATGTTGTTGATTTTATTAATTATAGTCTAATTATATTGTTCATTTTCTGGAAAATGCTGGACCTTCACCAATTTTGTATTCAGAAAATTTCTTATGAGTTCCTTGAGTGTTTGTTGATTTGGGAAGTTTCTGTGGAGAGACAGTTTTAGTTTTCTCTTCTTGATCTTAGACACTTGCCTTTTCCTATTTCCTGTCATATCTGTGTTTTCCAGTTGTTGCTATCTCCATGTTTGTGTTTTTGCTGTTTGAGTGCTTGAAATGATTAATACAGTGACTTTGGATGTTTAACACCCTTTCATATATTATTGTCTCTTTTTCCTAATTAGCCTCAGCTATCATTGTGATATTGCCTAGACTCCTCCGAGGGAACATCAACTGAAGGTGTGCCTGGATCAGAATATCTGGTTGTTGTGTCTGAGAGAGAGTGTGTTGATTTTGATTGATGTGGGAAGGCTCTTCCACTGAGTTGGCAATATCTCTGAACAAGAGGATCTGGGCTGGATAGGAGAGCTAACTTAGTACAAGACAATGACAAAGCAAGAGAGAAAGTCAGGAAATAATGGTTCCACATCTTGCCTTCATTTATTAGCTTGAGGTTCTATCCTAAGTTCTCACAAGGAGGGACTGTGACCTAGGGGTAACAACCAAACAAGTATGTTCATTACCTGAGTCACTTTTGGTTAGATAATTTAATCACAGCATCAGAGAAGAAAGTTGGAACAAAAATAGTACCTCAAAATGATTTTGTTGCTGCAACAGACCTGGGAATTTTGAGTTTTGAAAGAATGTTGAAGACATCAGAACTTGGATGGCAGAAGCCATAGAAAGCTGTTCACAAAGCTTAATCAGCTCTTCTGGAAGGACCTCGAAGAGCAGAATGTTGAAAGTAATGGCAGACATTGGAGGTCAAGGTCACAAGATTTTAGTGGGCAATAGGATCTGTGGGGAGCCATGGTCTGGTCTGCCTGGTCTGCCTGCCTAGAGGGAAATGAATCATAGGTTTTTCAGGTTAAAGTCCATGGCTCCTGGGCAAAAAGTTTCAGTTCCTGACAGATTGTTGCATTCCCTCAGGCAAGGAAACATTCTGACTGCTTGTGTTTCTCTATATGATCCCTTAGTAGTCAAGGAAGCATGGAAACTTAACAGGACAATTGGTCTTAGACATTGATCTTGTGTACCATGTATAGCTTGGAAACTTCATTGTATCTTGGCAACTACAACAGTATTGATCCTGGAAACTACAATGTCTTCCATTTCTGAGAAAGATATAAAAATTTTGATTGCTCTCAATAAGATAGTCACAGCCTCATCTTTCTGTGGCCTTTATAGACCAAGCCTGGCTTTGTTCCTTGTGGTCCTATCAGGTGATCTTGGCCTGGTGAGTAAGCACAGGTGCTTAGAAGACTTCATGAAAAATTTAGCTAGAGTTTATTTATGTGATATTTTAGCCCCAAATCTTTCTTATTCTCTTCATGTCCTAGGAAAGTGAGTAATGCAGAGTTCAACCTGATTTCTTAGACAAAATATTGTTTCTGTTCAATGGTTATTACTCATTCAGGTCCACAGTGAGAAAGAAGCAAGTAGAAAGAAAGGAAAAGTCCGTTGTTTTGTTGTTGTTGTTGTTGTTGTTGTTGTTGTTGAGAAAACAGCAGCAGAAAGTTTCAGAGGGCAGTCCAGTGGTGAAAAAGAGACAGGGATTTTCAAGGATTTAAGCACCATGAAAGGGAAGGTTCTTAACTCTGTATTCAAAGTCTAGGAATGTTGTTCCAAGTATAAGACTCCATGCAGCCAAGCCCTTAATTTATAGAAAGAGCCAGGTGTTTATGTCATTTCTTAGTTTTGGAAATTGTTTGCTCTGCACTTCCTGTTTACTTAGGTAATATTATTTTCTTCTCAGATCTCTAATAGACTATATAGTTTTATTTATGGTTTTCCTTGTGACCAAATTCAGAAAAGACACTATCAAAAGAGGTGTAAAGTGTATACAGTTTAGAGGCAGAAGAAGATAGTTTTGGGTTGGTAATACAAGCATAGATTGTGACTTAGGTGCAACACTTTGGACTCATCAAGATAGGATAGATGATGGAATATTTTCTCTGAATTTGTCAAATACTAATGGACTAGACATTGTTAATATAATTATTGCCTGCATATATCTATTTATAGTTATTGTACTTATTGTATATAATTTTACTATGTTAGTTAAATCCTTTGCTTTTTATTTAGAGACAAAGGGGGTAAATGTGTGATTTTGTTTGTATTCTGATGAATAAAGTTTGCCTGGAGTCAGAAGGTAGGGTCAACTACTAGCTGACCATAGAGTTTTGGAGGCCTGAGGACAGAGAGGAGACAGGAAGCGGTAGGCAGCTTGAAGAGAAGATTTTGACCCTTTTGGGTGGAGGAAAGGTAGAGGTAGAAAGTGACAGTCAGTGCTCCCCTGCTTCTCTGAGTGTTCAGGTTTGCAGGGGACAGAGCATGACTGCCATAGTTGCCTGGAAGGGGCAGTGAACTCTAAATGGGTACATAGGAATAGGGACACCCAGGTTCATGATTCTGGTGTGGCAAGGGCTTGTGGGCCCTAGAGCTTAGATTCCTAGCTTTGCATGAGTCTATAGAGATAAAACTTGTTTGTTCTTGGCAATAAGGCTAGTCATGTGTGTTTGGAGGGGGCAACGCCTTTTTAAAAAGAATGCAATGTATCTCCAAAACCTACTTAACTAACTGCAAAAGCATGTTAGAAAAACTACAGAGAGGGCTTAAGGGTAAACAGACCCAAAGCACCATAATTAAATTTCCCTTAATTTGCCAGAGTTTAGGGTTAAAAGAAACAAAAAACAAAAC